GCTGGGGTCATAATAGTTGTAAAACACTTGAAACATGATGCAGAGCGTGGATATGCGATGTATAAATACAATTGTTATTATTATATCATTTTTGTTGTTGTTATTATTATTATTATCATCAACATCATATTTATCATCATTATTATTACATGTATTAGTATTATTTGGAAGACTTATTAAATGCTACGAACAGGTCTTAGCTTTTAAAATTGCATTGACAACGACATAAGGATCTCCGTCAGACACAAGGTGAAAGCCCTAATCTACTATCCCTGGTGAAATGGGACAGCTGTCTGCAACAACAACAACAACCAAAGGTCACACGTAGTCTCTCTCTTACCAACTTCCATGTGTTCGATTGCCTTGTCGTGGATCTCCTCAGTAAGTCTACCGCTCTTCTTCAAGTACTTCAGCACAAGGATGTTTGGCACGAAACCAACCATGTTCTGCTCACCACAGCCAGTGGGCATGCGCACCAGGCTGTCAAGGTTGGTCAAAGCAGGGCCCATAATATCGCCTAGGGATACAGGTTGCAGTGGATTAAACGCACTTCTGCTTCCGAGATACGGAGAAAGAAACCCAGAGCATCGGCTTGAAATTGTAACAACATTCTGGCTGATTTAAACCCATATCCTGCACGCAAAATTCTAGTTTCTTAGTCTACAAATAGAATATGACGTTATTTTCATATTGTTTGGATGTTGAAATTTGTTTTTTGTTTGGTTGTTTTTCTTTTCTTTTTTGTTTTGTTTCATTCTGTTTTGTTTTGTTTGTTTGTTTGTTTTGTTTTGTTGCTTGTTTGTTTGTTTGTTTAACTAAATATAAATGTTGTTCAACTATTGACAAAAGGAAAGTTTTAAGGGACTCTGATAATTGCATTTGAAATCAGGGCATGCGCTTGAAAAGCACAAAAAGCACAAATTTTAATCATACATTTTTCTCTTCAATGGATAAACATGGATTGAAGTGAATTCTTTTTATTTCTATTTATAGAAATGTGTCTGATAAATCTGAAAAGGGAAATAGCCTATGTATTTCATTCATAGGAGTTCGAAACTGGATTGAATCAGTCTAATATTTTTACAAATGGCTAAATCAACAAAACTATAAAATCACGCCTAAGTTACTTATACTCCTAGCTATATTATTGCAGAACATGCTTAAATGTGTCCCTTTACCAATCACTCGAACTTCTCCTCGGGCGGAATCTTTGACCATATCCTCCGGCAGAGGGAGAATCACTTCTTGCATTTCTGGCTTGTCCGCTAAAAACAAGTTATCAAAAAAATAAACAAGTTGGAGGATAATCCTGAGCATACATGAATCATGTCAGGGCACATTCTACCATTACTGAAGATTAATGTAAACAGCAAATTCTATAAAATTACTGCAAATCCTTACGCCTCATAACAGAAACAACAAAATAGGAGGGCAGGATATATCTAGTAGTCAAATCGAAAGTTACATCTCAATGCAAAACAGCTCCGAACAGTACTGGGTAGAAAAGAGCTACGCTGTATGTATAAAATATACACACAGACAGGTTATGTAGACTAAAAGTGATTTTTTATTTTGACGACATAGTTTATCCATGTAACTTGACGAAATTTCAAAGGAACAACTAGCTTGGAATAATCTATTTACAAGCGTTGAATTAAAACCAGCTTTTAAACTACAATGTCAACTAAAAAATGGATTAAATCACAAACCTTTAGCACACATGTAGTGAGTACTAGTGTATTCCTGAGTAACGCCTTCAGCCTGAAAAAAAAAATCAGTGTTGATAAGAAATATGAAGCCGACAGTTTTCATCATTCCAATATATATTTATTTATTTGCATGGCGTTATTGCAACCTATAGATCTAAGTAGTTGCAAGGAGAGTGAAGTCCCAGGATGTGCGTTTTAGGTCAATAAAGTTCCCATTGAAGATCTGAAGTACATTTTATCCAAAATGTTATACATCTGGAATTATGAACAATCAACAGCTTCAATATTATGACTTCCAGAATTTGTAATGCATAAATTGATACACTTGACACGATTTACGTTAACTCGATGCAACATCTCCAAGCTTTCGTAAATTAATTAAAGTTAAAGAGATTTCTTCTGTGTACTGAAAGAAATACATTTTTACTCTACCAGAGATGGCTCTACCGGCGTCTGTGTTGTAGCTGTTAGACGCGTCGCTGTCGCAAGCAGGAGACGAGTTCGATTCTTCAGTGTCGCAATTTTTTTTTAATCGAGTATCTGTCTTTCTGCTGGGATGTTGTATCACTCTCAGCTCGGGTTGGCCCTGGCAGACAGGGTCAGAAGCCCGCCTCCTAAATAGTGTAAATTTTGTCTTACAAAAGTGTGGTTTACCTTAACAAGCATGACTCTCTTGACTGCGTCCGTGTACCCTTCGTAGCCAGTGTCCATGTCAATGGCATTGCTGCACAGACCTGGAATAACTTCAGCCTACAAGAGACAACATGGAAAGATATTAATGTATTTAATTACACTCCTATTATTTCTGCCACAATAATAATAATTCTTAGATTGGTCATAAGCCACACAATAATTTTCAGTAACCTTATTAGTAAAATTGAGGAAGACAGAAACAAATGATTGACATTCTGACAAAACATGGCGCACAACCTAATCGTCTAATGTCCGACCAAGAAACATAATAATAATATGTCAATGCTGTGATACCCTAGGTGGATCTGGAGTGCTAAAAAAAACCTTAATTTCCACAATATTAAGTTAGGTGACTTTGTGTTTTATTAGAACTTTCGATAGAGTTGCATCCAATGCTTGCAACATTCCAGATTTTATATCGACCTACCTTAGCCATTAAAGGCAGGGAGCCGATGTCTTTCGGCGTAGCGAAGAAAGTGATGGAGTGTGACTTCCCTCCGCACAAACACACGGGTTTTCTCTGTCTTCGGATGTTGTGGACGTCAAATCCCTCCCCAGCGTCCAGAGTGAGCTGAATCTGTGGGGTGATGAAGAGTGAGTGAATATTGGAGAAACGACTGGGCAGGGGATTAATGCAGAGAGTATGAGTCTCGGGAAAAGGCAGGCTGAGGGTTAATGAGGAGAGTGTGAGTCTTGGATAACGACAGGGCAGGGGTTAATGAAGAGTGAGTGAAAATCGGATAAACGACAAGGCTAAGGTTAATGAGGAGAGTGTGAGTCTCTGATAAAGACAGGTCGAGGATTAATGAAGACAGCTGAGTGTTTGGAAACCACAAGGGGAGGAGAAATGACACATTAAGAGAACACTCAAAATTTGTTTCACTATGTTATTGGTCTTTGAATAGCTGTAGCAACGAAACCATCGTGAAATCCATTCACTGAAAGGTAGGGACAGAATAGTAGTACATTTTTAAAAAACGAGATTATAAACAATATTTTTCAAAGTTTGTTTCACTTTGAGATGGAGCATTTTTTAGAATCCACTCTCTTACATGCAAGCATTTGTCCAAGTAGTTGTATACTGTAAGGATGATGGGCAGTCGCTCTCCGCGGACAGCAGCGTAGGGCAGCTTTAGGGAGAGGAAGAAGGGCTGGAAGGTGGTGATGGAGGTTAAAGGAGAGACGCCGAAGCCTTTTGTCTTCTCCACACACATGGCATTGCCCACCCAGCTTGTGATGGTGTCCGGGGCTGTGTGGGTTGTGCTGGACGCTCCATTCTCTCTGAAAATACCGAAAGTATAAGTTGATATACGATGAGGCAGGAGGAGATAAGATAAGAGGATTATATAAAGATTATGTTATTTAACAAAACTATGTTTATCCAAAGTAACAGTTTTCTACAAGGGAGGGGGTTGCAATAGTCGAGGTTGATGGGTATGGGGCCCTGTCATAGAGAAAAAAAACTCCGATTCATGGCTCACGGGGGCAAATTTTTGTGTAGCACATCCCTATAGATTTGATAGTTCTTTGCACCAAAATTATATTATTTCTGCTAGTCGTACAATCATTGCCCATTTTGAATATTTTTCAGACCACTATGATTCTGATGTTCCCATTGTATCAACTTAAGAGTTACAATCTACGTAGCCAATACCCCAGTGAACAACAAGTTTGGGGCGTTATTTACACTGTTGCCTTATGCTTAAAGGAAAAAAAAGCATTTCGGTTTTTACGAAAAGTTTAAAAAGCCATTTCAGCCTAACCTGAGGACCATAAAAAGTACAATAACTATAATATTATTATAAACACATTCCTCTCCATGTTTAGCAAACAATTCATCTCCAATAAAGTCAAATTTCTTCTTACGATTCTAGAGAGAAAAGTGAACATTGAAGTGTGTAAAAGCTGGCCAGATATACAGTAGTGCATGTGGAGTAAAGGTCAATATTGATTAAGTTTCGAAAAAGTCTGAACTTTAACGCGATATTTTATCGTAATCTGACAGTCTTTATGCAATTTGTAAGTGTACTTACGATCATATCTAACAAAAATGAGATTAGTAAAACAAAAATAACATTTTTGTATCCACTCTCAGTGTTACAATATTGTCAACTGAAGGATAAAAATATTCGGCTTTAGAGCCACGATCACTGTATATATAGAAGATTAGGGGAGACAACGAGGTAAAGGTGAGCAGTTAGTAACAAACAGTTATTTACGAACAACAAGGAGTTCTCTATAATCAAAGGCTCAAGAGCGAACAAAGAAGACAGGTAGATAGAGAGATAAAGGCTGGGTTTGAGTGGAAAAGGGGGGGGGGGGTCCGTTTTTCTCATATTTATTGTTTCATTGCTGGAAAAGCACTAACTGTATTTTATAGTACTCCAAAATTCCAAAGTCCTTTTCATAATTATATAACTTGGAAAAGATTTGCATTTCATTTACCCCCTTGCTAGCCCTCCCTTGGAACACTGTCGGATGGGTAAGAGGGCAGGAGGACAGTGGTAAAGAGGGAGCAAAAAGTGAGGGGTAATACAGTTTGATTTATTTGATTAATGAAAGCATAACAAATGAAATGATAGCCGAAATTTGGGGGACTTTATGTAGTAACAATTACAAACTATTCACATAAGACTCAGTAAGGCGATAAAAGATACTCTTTTTTTTTACTTCAAGAAGCGTTTGGTTAATAAATTGTCCTGTTCCGAACTGACGTACCCAATAAGAAGTAGATCCCACAGCCAGGTTTCTGGAAAGTTTGTTCGGACCGATGGTTGAGGGGTCGAAGAGCTTAGTCTACGGGCCACGGGCACTGGAGCCCCCGGGCCAGGAACTAGACCGCCGTTGTCTGAACCCACTGACATAGGGAGGTCTTCAGAGCGCGGGGGGGGGGGTGGCAGGTGAGTGGCGAAAGGGATAGGGAGAAGAAAGAAATAAGAAAAAGATGTTAATGAAAAACAAGGACACTTGTGTTGCTGTTAATATAAACTCTCCATAGTACCCCGTTTTAGATTGAATGAGACGTACAATAAAATACTCTTCTCCTGTTCTGCTCACGCTTTTGGTCGTCGACTTGACCTTTATGCTCACATTCAGCAATAACGTGTTACATTTCAAACTACAGCTCTTTAATCAACAAACAAACAAAATAGCAGTGTAGTCGTTCTGTGTTTTATTTTTTATGATTAAAGGGTGAGCGGGGTAGGGGCATTGATTTTGTTATTTGGTGTTGATTTTAAAAAAATGTTTATTATTAATATAACTGTAAAAGTGAATGTAACACGTCTAATCGCTGCTAAAATGTCACAGTAAACTGAGAGGTCAAGTCGAACGTATAGTGTCCATGATTTCCTCTGACACATACCCCACCAGTACAAGGTCCCAGAGCCATGTTTCTGGGAAATTGGTGCGGGGAGCCTTCGGGCTCTTTGCGCCGTTAGGTGATATCTCGTTCAAAGGCACAGCGGCTGGTATAGCTCCACCTTCAGGAGTCATCCCTGACCGGCCAGACCAGGCTAGAACGATGGCAAAAGGTCACATTAAAGCTCAGTTGCAAAGAGTTCGAATGAAAAACGAAAACCTTGATAAGACTATGTTACCGGCGTCTGGTTTGTAGCCCTTTGGTGATTTACAGTGGTACACTTGAGACTCGAGCTCGATTGCCTAGTGGAGAAAATTTTTATCAAGTATCGTGGTCTTTCTGCTGGGATATTATTTCCCTCTCAGTCCGGGTTGACCTGACAGGCAGGGAGGTACCCCGCTTCCTAAATGATCTAAATTGTTCCGATGGGGCGTAAAAACATCCATGTTTTTTTAAAATCAAACTAGGATGAAGCTGGTGAAAGAGCACTGGTCAAGCTGGCTCTCCAACTGCTACTGTTAGACAGCTGTTCGCTTTCATTGGACATAGACGTCACATGATAGCCAGTGCCAGACAATGTAGTTAGTAATGTGGTTGTGCTGAAGACAGGCAGGCTCTGAACATGTCTCAAGTCACTCAAAAAGAAACAGCTACAATTGGGCCGGATACTAGTAGCCGTACTACTAAACACACAGTCATCAATCTTTCCATCAATTCTAACAAAACTTGGAATTTTAAAAATGCTACCGAGGAGGTGGGAGGGGGGAAGAGATTTATTCATAAGATATATTATATCAATGTTCATATTCGAGAAATATATATTTTTTTAATTCACCCTTATATTTCTCAACAGGGTGGAATGATTCTTTTTCATATACTAAAAAAAAAATCTGACTTCCACTTCTTTGAATTTTATGTCCTTGAACCATAGTTGAAATTGGTCTAAAAATGACCGAATTATTGCCCTTTGAACGTGTCCTTTTTTTCAGACCCCTTGTACTTCGGCCTTTATTTGGCTCTGTGCCTTATACATTTTGTTTCGGCGACCTTTGCAGTTCAGACGAATAGAACAGGTATAAAAGCTGCCACCTGTAACAAGGCTAAATGGAATCTTAATTTTCTCAGCAAGGTTTCAGTAGAAAAAGTGCCTAGTTTTAGCAGTTAACACTCTTCCTTTTCCCCACCTTCACGAGCAAGATTAATTTACACGTATTTCTTTTTGAAACATAATCTGTCCTTAAAACGCGAGCGGTAAAGTCTAAATGGGCATTACATACCACATGATAATATCCATTTACATAGTATCACAAAAACTAATAGTGTATTCAACAAACTAATACATGCACATACATAGCTGAAACGTAACCCACAACGTCTAAAGATGTTGTGTGTATGTGTGTGTGTGTGTGTGTGAGCACGTGTGTATGTGTGTATGTGTGTATGTGTGTATGTGTGTATGTGCATGTGTGTGTGGAAGGGGGGGGCGTGTTTGGGAGGGAAGGCAAAGGGCATGGTTCAACAAAGAATACAAAATATCTCATGGATCTTGTGGGCTTATTTTTAAGGGGTTGTTGGCAAAGACAATAACAATATCGGTTACAACAGTCCACCAATGACTGTAGTGAGGTACAGAGGGGGTGAGTTTAAACGCAAATCTTTATATCCACTCTACAGGACGATCAAAGAGGAAAATAAAACAAGAAGGTGTTACAGCGCATCGCTTTTGTAAACATAATTTTTCAAACTACATAAATAGTGATAGCAGTTAATTGCTGAAAATTGAAGAGGAATTTTGTACTGTAATTACAAAATCGTCTTAAGGACCAACCAAACAAATAGATAAACGAAAGGAAGGTCTGTGTGTTTAGAGATTGGGAGGGGGGGGGGGGTTGAGGAAGCAAAATCCCACTTCCCATTATTGAATAGGCAATGATATCCGATTGTATTTAGAACAAGCTGTCAGGTCACAGCTCTTCTTCAATCTATACAAATAACGGTTTGTATTTTTTACCATAGTAATAGATTTGATGTTCTCTTCCACAAGGTCTTGTTTCAAGATTCAAGTTCGTGATCACAATAAATCCACCAGACTGCAAAAGAAAGTTAAAGATTAAATGTTAAGGAAGCTGTCGAAACCCCCCAAAAATCCCAAAACAAAAAAGGTTTGTAATAAATCCTTAAGATGAGTCAGATATTGTCTTGTGGGCATAATGGCTTTAACTTATAGCTGATTTATGAAGCAGATAGTGAATCTGTGTAAACTAAAGCAAACAAGGTATCAATAACACAGCATTGCTTCATCAAAGTATAGTTTTCTTTCATTAGTAGCTGTTAATACCAAGCATCATTTTGAAAATACCTTAGTGGCTTTAACAATTCACTTGTCTGTCTTAAATATATTTTACAATGCAAAAACTGTTTTTCAGACTTGTAGATACGAGTATCTGGGTTTTGAAGTTCCGAGCTTTCAGTTTCCAAAACAAACTAACAAAATACTTGAACTTAAGATAATATTATGTATTCATATATTGTACGTGTTAATGGGTTAAATCTACGCACCTGGAACGCTTGTAGGGCATCAACGTAAGGAGAGCTGTAGTGCCAGTACCTTTCCACAGTCTCGGAGGAGTCTTCATCTGGCGAAGACATTCAAAGAGTTGGATTAAAAGGGTGTTTTGTTTTGATTCTCTCAGTATATTTCACCTCTAAAAGAAAATGTTATCATTCGATGGCTTCACACCCGAAATCTCTCTTACTTGGCTTGGTTTCCGTTTGAGGAAGAGAAGATGCACTTGCCTGTTTAGTAGACGACGTAAAATGCTTGGTAGCAGAGCTTATTATAATTTGTGTAGAGCAAACCTATTTCCCTTATTTAAGGTAGGAAATGCATGTTGTATGAATACAGTCAACTTGGACGTTTCTGGTTTGAATCATGATTAACGTTCACGAGATAGAGCAAGTTAAAAAATTTAAAGGCTTTTTTATGTGACACGAATGTATAGGATACTGCCAACTTCCTTTTTCAAGCAACAGAGTTACCTATTAAGCTGTTGATCCTTTTCTCGCAATAGTCATTGTCTCTGGTGAAAGCCATGGGAAAACCTCTATACACTGGTGTGGCCAGTTCTTCGATTCGTTTGAAGACCTGTGGGGTAGAAATTTAAAAACGGTGTTATTTTATAATAAGCCATCACAAAAGCTTGACTCTGAGCAACTGTTCCATGTAAAATGGGTGATGAATATTCACATGGCAAAGTGATAAAATACAGCACCTGTACCTCGCCTCAGTGAAAGGATGCTGAACCTAAACTATGGCTACCATGTGAGAAGATACACTTCTCACATTATGGCTACTAACTGAAAAAAGTACCTAGTCTATGGCTACTAACTGATTAGAAACAGCGCCTACACTATGGCTACTAACTGATTAGAAATAATATCTACACTATGGCTACTAACTGATTTGAAACAGTACCTACCCTATAGGTCTTTCATAAGACATTCTCGAGTGGGTGGAAGGACATTGAAAAGTTCGCTGTCTCACCAACAGGGAACAATGGTGGGGTGCTCCTTTATGCGATCTCTCTAGGCGAAGTTACATTACCTTTTCACAGTAATTGCCCTGACGTGGGTCAGAAGTAACCAAATAATACGCCTACTAAATCCCACAGTGCGGGGCAGGGTTTGGAAAGTACTTCTAATGTATTGACGAGTGTTACACTATTAAAGAAGCGCACAATGACAACGTGGCCAGGGTAAAAGGGGAATTAATTCATGTACATCACTTACAGTTTCAGTGGTGACTTGATGATTGCCACCCAGAATGTTAACGCTTTTGTCAACCACGCCAACACCACACACAGATCCAGGCTCTGCCTTGAGTTGAACTCCGACTTTCTCCCCAGGCAAGGCGGTGCTTCTGTTGAACGCCATTTTTACCTGCAGAATACCATTCGTGAGATGGTCAGACAGATGTGTTCCCTGATCATATCAGCATCTTTGTATGCATTCTAGGACAACGACAAAAGGCATTGGGAGCATGAAACTGGCTGTAGAGATGACTTATTGTCTGAAAGCTCTTGGTGTCTCTCAGAGACAATATCATATTATTATTATTTACAGAGATATGCAAATCCGAATTCAGAAACGCTACAGGGTCATATTCCTGCCAGCTTCCAAAGAAAGACACTAACAGCTGAAATGGCAAGGGTACATCACACACTTACAAGGAACAGGA